AAGAAATGTATTCTATATGTCGTCAGACCCAAATTTTTTAAATTTGGTTGTCCATTCAAAAACAACGTGACTTAAAATTTTGTCCAAAAAAATGATTTTTATTAATTCAGAAATGTGTGACCTGAGTATTAGAATGCTCATACAAAGTTTCACTGTATTTGGATTTATCCTCGAAGAAAAAAAAGTAAAAACTAGATTTTGACTAGACTTGTCCCAAGTTCATAATTGAAAATGTATTTCTTACTTGGTTCTTTGCTCAAAAAAATTTTAGGATGTTTTATTTGTATTTGTTTTAAGCACTAGAATATTTATGCAAAGTTTCAATCCATTTGGAAAAACCCTCGAAGAAAAAAGTGACAAAATTGATTTTGACTAGGCTCGCCCCTAGTCCAAAATTGAAAATGTATTTCTTACTTGGTTCTTTGCTCAAAAAAATTTTAGGATGTTTTATTTGTATTTGTTTTAAGCACTAGAATATTTATGCAAAGTTTCAATCCATTTGGAAAAACCCTCGAAGAAAAAAGTGACAAAATTGATTTTGACTATGGTCGCCCCTAGTCCAAAATTGAAAATGTATTTCCTTCTTGGTTCTTTGCTCAAAACAATTTTAAGATGTTTTATTTGTATTTGTTTTTAAGCACTAGAATATTTATGCAAAGTTTCAATCCATTTGGATAAACCCTCGAAGCAAAAAGTGACAAAATTTATTTTGACTAGAGTCGCCCCTAGTTCAAAATTGAAAATGTATTTCGTACTTGGTTCTTTGCTCAAAAAAATTTTAGGATGTTTTATTTGTATTCGTTTTAAGCACTAGAATATTTATGCAAAGTTTCAATCCATTTGTATAAACCCTCGAAGAAAAAAGTGACAAAATTTATTTTGACTAGAGTCGCCCCTAGTTCAAAATTGAAAATGTATTTCCTACTTGGTTCTTTGCTCCAAAAAAAAATTAGGATGTTTTATTTGTATTTGTTTTAAGCACTAGAATATTTATAAAAAGTTTCAATCCATTTGTATAAACCCTCGAAGAAAAAAGTGACAAAATTGATTTTGACTAGGTTTGGGGAACCTGTTAACAGAAAACAGAAAAACAGCTGTTTTTCGACAAAAATCTGTTAACAGAAAACAGGTCTCAAAAACAGATCAGTTTTCTGTTTTTCATTTTTACATATAATTTACAGAAAAAAAAAAATTTCTTAATTTTTTGAAGAACTTAATATATTTTTCTAGCATTCCAAATTGAAATGTATTTACTATTTTAATATTTTTTGGATGTTTAATAGGTTTGAAATCATTATCAAATTTATGATTAATCAAATGATTAATTTTGCAATCGAAGTTTTAAATATGTTGAACCTTTTGGACCTTTACTAAAGTTCAAAAATATAATCAACAATTTTACAAGATATTTTTTTATTCAGAAAGATTTTTTGAATATTTCAAATAAAATATTAGAAACAGCTGTTTTTAAAAATCAAAAACCGAAAACAGACTGTTTTTCAAAAACAGCTGTTTTCCACAAACCCTAGCCCCTAGTCCAAAATTGAAAATGTATTTCCTCCTTGGTTCTTTGCTCAAAAAAATTTTTTTCATCCAAAGTTTAATTTAAAAAAAAATCACAGTGAACTTTTAATTTGAAAAATTCGTAAGAAAGGAAAGTTTTTTGCTTTTTCTGAAGCAACGGCTGTTCCTACCTTGCCCAAAAACAATACAGCTCTTCTATAGAGCAGCACGGATCAAATGTAAAAAACTTAGCTTGCTTGTTTGCTTGCTTACAGAAAGCGTATTTTGCGATTTTCTCAGCAATGCCGCAACCAATTTGAAATCTGTTTTTTGCAAAAGATGTGAAATTCAAGGCACAAACTTTTCATCTCTGAACATTTTAAGCTATCTTGCTCCATATCCTCACAAAATTCTAAAAAGTGATTTTTCAATCTGAACAAAACCAATAGATTCACACGTGAAAACGGTGTGAATATAAAAACTAATCTTTTTGTTCAGGCTCATTTGTGTTTAAAGACGCTTCTAATATATCAGTTTTAGTGTAATATTTAACCCTCATTAGATTAATACAATGAACAAAATTTTAAATCCACACTGAAAGTTTTTGATTTCGAGACCTCCATAGTTCAATGATAATCGTTTAAAGTTTCGAGTTTTCATTTTAGATAAATACGTGATAAAGTTAATTACTATCCAAGAACTATTACTTCATGCAAGAACGCCTGCATTTCAATGATGCTTGAGTTTTGCAATTGATAATAAACAGTCATAAAAGTTGATGCATTATAGAAAAATAATTTATTATTTTATAACATGCTCATAAAAGCACATTTAAGCAATGCATCAAAGAAAAATTTAAAGAAACAGAACATACAGGCACACAGTATATAAAATGATTCATAATTTCTTAAAAAGTTTCCCGTGAGCTTCATTATTTGCGTAATTGTGATTGTATAAAATATAAACGTCATTAAATTAACGAATTGTAATTTCTCTTGTACATGCATGTTTATCACCCGAAATGATTTGCAGAAAAGCAAAGCAACATCAAGTGAGAAAAAAAAAAATTAAACGGAATTCTATCTGAACATTAAAAAAAAGAAAGAATTTGTCGAAATTAAAAGAAATAAAAAAAAAAAAACATTCACAAAACTCTTCGTCATCTATAATTTTTCCTCCTTTTCTCCTCTTCATCGCTTCGCCTTAACTCGATGTAATAAAAAACTCAGCATGCGATTGTCCGAGTCAATTACTTTATTTCGTTTATTTCTTTTCTTTATCACACCTCGGATCTCTGAAGCTTTCTTTTTCTCATTCAAATCGCGCAGCTACCAGGTTTTATTTTTCCTACCTCGATTCTTCTTCACAACAATTCAGTTTGGTATTCAGATTCAAAAATATGATCATGACTTTACATTGTTCTTTGACGCAATATAAAGAAATGAAAAAAAAAAATCTCCCTCATGCTTAAATTCGGCTTGTTTGAAAACGATCGAGGAAATGACGATAAGAAATCATGCACAAATTTTTCTTTCTTTCATTTTCAAAAAATACTAATAATAAAAATGTTTAAAAGGCGAATGCTAGTGTAAAGAAGAAAGATAACAAAAATTGATATTCACAAAATTAACAGCTTCCATTGCTCGTTTCTTTCGCTCTCCCACGATACCGTGAAAGATCAAAATATTTTTTCATGCGAGCGAATTCTTTGAAAAATTTATTACTCGACACTGCTGGAATTAAATCGAATTGCCACACGAAAATAAGATTCCATCCTCTACCGTTTTCTTCTCATTTTTCACATACAAATGATTATTTTGACGATAAATAGAAAGAAGATTTGTCCTTGAACAATTGTCTTAATAATGTATTCATTATCTCAAAGTTTCTTCTCCCAAGTTTTAATTATTCATCACTAGTCTTAGTCCGTCGAAGTATTAAATAGTAAGTTTAAAGTCATTTGAAAGTAATTTCTATTCTTTTATATGCTTTGCGAGTTAGAATAAAAGAATTTAAAGTAAATTTTTGTTCGTGATATGCGTGATATAATCATAAGCTCAACAACAAAGCGTAACAAATGCGTCTTTTGAGAAAAGAAGAATGAAATCTCGTTACATACTTCAAATGTTTCATTCTTTTTGCTTTTTGGACAATACATGATATTCGTGTGATATAGTTTATGGTAAACAGGCATTTTTCTCGTTTCATGAATGTTATGTATATATGTACTTAACACCTTATTAAATAAAGATAATTCATGTGAAAAAGAGTGATGCATAAAGCTGAACAGTTTCATTCCTCATCCCGCCAATCAAACTGTCTTGTTCATACATGAAATCTAATTAAATGCTCTGTTGATGGATCTTGGGAATCGTTTAATGTCCATCTCATTTACGGGCAGATTTTTTCTACTGAAGTAGCAATTTGATTTTCTTTTTTTTACTGTCTTATTTTTCGAACTCGCCAGATCATTAAATACGGCTATCAAAATGAGAGACGAAACGATATCAAATTACAGAAAGCAATGCATTTTAAAGAAAATATTGAAATATCTCTTGTGTCGTTGTAAACGACATTAATTTTGTTTGTGTAAAAAAAAATTATAAAAAGTGGCACTACTGTCTTCTTAATGACTATTTTATTCATGACAATAACGAACATTTTCTTGATTGTCAATATTGGAATATAATTTTATGTAGAAAAAAGCAGAATATAGAGCCATTAAACCGAGACAGAAGCAAAAAAATGCGATGTTTTAACTTTTTTTGAAATGTAAAATTATTCTTTTTATATTATATAAGTTTGACAAAGCCAGGCTAAGGTCTTAACCACATAAATGCAATTTTGCTTTTTTAAAAGATATTTTTTTTTATTTCTACCTGTCAAAAAATATTTAAACTCTAATTTTTCAAATTTTTCATTTTAGCGCCAAAATTTGTGCAAAAAATACACGTGAATCAAAAGTTAATAAATTAAGAGTAATTAAACAATATATTGAACTATTAAAGAATTTTTTTGAAATAGTGGCATAGTCAACACTATTTATTGTGCTAAAAATAAGGAATTACCGTGCGATTTAGAAGAAAGTAAGTTTGTGATTGGATATATATTAATTAATAGCCATTTGGGAAAAGAATATAAAAGATAACTTTAAGTTCTAATGCTGTGAATGCTTAGAATTATTGCCAAAGTCATTTGTGAAGTTTAAAAATAAGATGATAAATTTCAAAACATCCAGAAAATCATATATAGCTCGAAAAAGCAAAGGTTGGGAAGCCTCGCAGTAAAAGTCTTAGGAAGCCGCTAAACATAAATTTTTTAAAATTAGTCTTTTTATTGAAATACAGAACTTCTTTCAACTCATTTCTTTTTGTGATGTCCAGCTGTGACATTGGTCAATAAATATATGAAAAAACGCTGAATTAATGTTTAATTAAAGAAATGTTCTTTTCGAATGTAAGAACGAAACACTAATACCATTATTTATGACTTTCCAGGATCGTTAAGCAACAGTTCATTTCGTAAACTAATAGCATCATCAACGACATAAAAACAAGCTACAGTGGAACTGACTTTTTGATCAGCAGAAAAAAAAATGATGGATCGAATACCATCATTAGCTTTAACTGGACTTTCATTGTCACATCACCCGCTATCATCTTTGCAATCACAAAATCTTTCATCAACAACAAACTCATCATCGGCAGCATTAAATCAGCAAGCATTAAATTCTCTAAACTTTCATCAACAATCGAATCACAATCATCACACTCAGCTGAATCAGAATTTAAATCACTCAATTATAACGTCGTCAAATAGCGTTGTTTCGCATCACCAGCATCACCAACAGCAACAACAGCAGCAACAACAATCACAGCTTCATTCATCAAATCTTCATCACCATCAACAACTGAATGGATTGCTCAATAATGTTGGTGCAAATGGGTGAGTATTATTGCGGAAAATATCCTCATTGAATTTTACTTTAATCTTTTTAGAAATTTTTTTGAAGAAAAATTCTTTTCTAATAGTTCCACAATTTTTAGTCTACTAACATCAACGTCCCTTATGAAAAAGCCACATGATGATCACATAAAACGTCCAATGAATGCCTTTATGGTAAGATGTTCCATTCTAGTTAAAATTTAATATTACATTATTTTTTTTTACGCTTGTTTTAAAGGTCTGGAGTAGACTCCAACGACGAAAAATTGCACAGGAAAACCCTAAAATGCATAATTCTGAGATTTCAAAGCGATTAGGTAAGTGCTTGTCAATTTATATTGTGTACCTTCTCGATGAAGAAAAATTACGTTACGCCAAAACCAATAGTGTGACGCCAACCAAAAATGTTTGGAATACGCTAGTAAAACGAAAATCTAAAAGAAAATTAAATAAGTTGTTGATACAGAAAACTAGAAATAATAAAGCAAGAGTCTTAAAATTGAACTTCTTATAAATACAAAAATAAACAATGAAATGAGAAGCATGTGTAAAGGAAATGTCTTCGTCTTTCATATCACTTCCCATTTTATTATGACAAACAAAGCTTAAGGTTATATAAGGAATAATAAACGAATCGAGAATGAAAAGGAAGGAAGAGAGAAGAAAATGTAAATTATAATTACCGAAGTTTTCCATTGTATCTCACATATTCATTAGAATTTTGTATCGTTTTTTGATGGGAGTTTATTGTTCCAATCAACGAGAGCACTCGCAAATCCACTCATGAATAATGTAGATTTGAAAATTCTTGTCTACGCCATATGCGGTAACAATAAAGAGAATAAAATGATGACTTTAATAAATTGTCATTTGAATGAAATAATCTGGTAAATATTCCTGATAATGCTTGAATATTTGTAAATAAATTATGAGTTTTCACTTTCACTTTTTTTCTGTCATTTTATTGTAAATCAAGAGGCACGATAATTTATCCTTAGCAATAGTTTTTTTCTTCATAAAAGCTTTTATCATTTTGTGTCTTTTTAAATACTGGAGAAAATACAAGTACATGTAAACAAAAAGAAGAAAACATTTTAAATTAAAGTTAAAAATCCTGTTTACTTGAACAAAAGGAACAAAACACAAAAGCCTTTAGTCCTTTGTAAATAATTTTTTAACAATACGAATGAGAAATAATTTTTTTTTGGCATTTTTCCATTTTCATTTTCTCAACTCAAAGAAACGGAAACTTTTTTCATGACAATAGGATAAGAAAAAAATGTGAAAAGAGCAGAATTTTGCTTTGTTATTGGCATTTTCGTTTCTCCTTGGAAATTCTTATACTACAGATATAGAATTCAACTTATTTAATTTGTCCTTATAGAGTAACAAGGAAAGGAATGTTGGCTAATTTCGTGATCAAATATTTGAAGTAATTAATACATCAGTCGATAAATATGTTATAAAAGTTTAATATTCTCACATAAACAATAAAAACAAACAACGATTATGATGACTTTATGGATAGAGGGTGGAATTATATAAATATTTATAGACATTTAGGGTAATATTGCCGCCAGCTATCAAACACAGAGCAAAATCTAAACCTTATTGCCTCCCTAAATTCGTTTAAATCTATTTTAAATTTAGAATTTAACTTTACCTTTTTGTTTTGATGTGATGCATGCGCCTTTGCACAAAACCACAAATGAATGATAGAAAGGAGATTTGATTTGAATGAGAACACGTGGCAGACAAACACCATACGTCACTATCATACACAGCAATCTCTATCACGTTATCAATTCAATTATTGCAAAGATTGGATGAATGTTGGTTTAATAAGGCAGCAATTTTAGGAATTGAGCAGCTTCAAGGGATTGAATTTAACATGTTTTGAGTAACTCGATCACACATATTTATATTATTCAATAAAAATACTTACTAACTCCAAAAATAATCCATACAATCTGCCAAAAGAAGCAAATAATGCTAAAGAGAGACCTGTTACATACTTTATAGCTATAATCGAACAAAGTAAAAACCCTCAACTGATGGTCCTATAATCCTCCTTCAACACATTTCCTTCTCACAATAATAGACATCACAATAGGAAAATTCTTCTCATTAATACGTTAAGGGTTATTATGAATTGAAAGGGATTGAAAATATATTTTATTCTTGAATCGAGATTCATCACATTTTTCAATTGTTTCCCTCTTCTTTATTTTTATCATCATTACCATCGGTTGTTTTTGTTAATGAAAAGTGTAAAATTAAGCCTGAAAAAAATCCATTTGTAAATAAGCAAACATATTGTATTGATAACCATTGGAAACGAATGAAAGGAAAACAAAAAAATTATCATATTATTGTGAATCGGTTATGCCAAACCATGTAAATAAAAGATTAACAATGATGATCACTCCTTCAAACTTCAAACACAGGAGTATATAAAAATGGTTTTTGAAAACTGTCAAAATGAGTCAAAAAGTTTTATGCTTCTTATTCGAATTTTTTGAGGCAATATGCAGCAAAATGATATGTTTATTATTTTTAAGTAATTTGCCCTTATCATTTTTGTATTATCCTCTTAAAAAAATGACTTAAAACAGTTTTCTTTCGATTTAAAATCCATTATCAGAATAAAGAATCGAGTTGATTGACATCTCAATAGGAATTTGGCCCAATTTTAAAAGAAAATCATTTTTTAGATGCTTTTGTAAAAATGATGATTTTATTTTCATTTACTCTCTTCTATTTCCTCAAGTTGATTGAGTGCATGCATATATATGAACGTTTGCTATTCGATTCACATTCACTTCTTTTTTTGAAGATTTTTTTTTGTTACGAGACAGTGCTGGAAATGTAATTAAAATTGCTTACTCTTTTTTCAACAAAAAAAAAATAATAGGGTAAACCATGTTGAAATTTGTGCAATGTTGAAATTTGTGCTCTCGTATAAAACGTAAATCATCACTAATAAGCCATTATTACCAAATATTCATTTGCAATTCGGTGTAAAACTTTTCTTCAAATATTTCCACATCATTTTGAAAATTCTTGAACCTTATAGCTGCTTTAAATTTAAAAAATTCGAAATCCCATACAAAATTGTAATATTCATTTTGTTATTTATTTGCACATAACCAGTGCTTATCATACACACATTAGAATTGAAAATTCAAAGTTGTTTAAAGCTTTATAGTTTCAAAAAGTTTCAGGTCAAAATAGTCACTGGAAGTGCTTTAAAAATCGATCTTAAAATTTCTTGTTCACAAATGTTGAAATTTGTGCGGAATTTTTTGATGAATGATGAAATTTGTGCGCTTTTTATCAAAGAAAGCAATGAGAAATTTTGTCAACAATAAACAATATTTATGGATGAAATTCATGTTTTTAAAGGTTTTATTGAATAACATGAATGGAATTGCAGGAATTAATAACTTTAAAAATGTCCCTACTTTATGGATTTTTTTCTTGCTGTAAATCAAACAATCCATTATTATTTGAATCTTTAGTCTTGCATTTATTTGAAGAAATAAGTTTGAAAAAGCCGGCTGTATACTTGTGATGTTGCTTAAAGCTAATTCAGAGGTTCTTCTTCCGAAAAATCGCGAATTAAGCTCTAATAAATAATAAACAAAATATTTGTTTACATTTAAAAATTGAAAATAAGTCAAAGATTGTTATCAAAAAAGTGCACAAATTTCAACATTTGATCGAAAATGTCAAATATCTCTTACCATAGGCTGCATCAAGCCTGCATAACCCTCAAAAAGTTTTAATAACTGAAAATTTCCACAATTTCTGATCTTTTGAGCCCATTAGCAAATTTTTATAATCAACCATTAACAAGTTACTTGCAAATCAAATCTTCATGTGCAAAAACACACAAATTTCAACATGGTTTACCCTACAATCAAAACAAAATGAATCAATATTTTGACATTTCAATTAAACTTCTATCCATTCAATTGATTACATTTCTTCATCTTTGATCAAAAGTATTTCGATAACGTCCATCAGAGATGACAACTCAAACACGAGATATGATTCTTGTTTAAATGTTATGTATCAAGTGTGTTTCAGATGTTTTCTTATAGTACATATTTGCATACAAAAATATGTTTATATCCCTAATTTTCAAATTGATCCCAATGCATTCACATTGAAAAAGAGTTGTTTTCACAAAAACATAATTGTCGTCATCGTCTGTGGAATAATTTCAATAATACCGTTGCATATTGTTAGCAAGTTCCCCTAACGCATCATCTCACATGAAATAAAGTAAACGAAAAATTTCTGACTCTGACTCAAAAAATTCAATTGTTTGGAATTGAATAGTGAAAACAACAAACAATTGAAGCCGATGAGTTTCCTCTCCCGCATTTTTTGTAATTGAACATTGATTAAATATTGACAGGAAAATGCACGATACTGAATTTACTTTTGTTCCAACTCATTGCATCCTGCTGTTTATGCTACCTGCCAGATTGAACAAAAACAATTGAAGATTAAATTAAAGTTTTTTTTTTCTGAATGACATTTCTCCTCGTAATAATCATTGAACTTCTACTGTTGAGTCACACAAAGATAGTAAGACAGAAAGATCGGATCAAATTTTCGAAATCTCATTTCCCCATTCACTTGATTGTGCTCATAATCGATTTTTTTATTATTTTTCTCTTTAAAATGAAGCACGTGTCAAAGAATTTGGTATTCTGTTGCATCGTTAAATGTTATCTGTCAAAATACATGAAAATCCCTTTCGAATCGAAATATCAGTCCACTAAGCATGGAAGGTTTAATCGCATTAGAACTGTCAAAATATAAATTAAATCAAAATTATAATTTTATAAAGCTTGTGTGTGTCGAATTTCTTTTTTATACTCTTGTCGTATGACAAGAGAATTATGCAATGAATTTTACTGACGCGTTATCTTTAGACTTGAAAACCAATAACCCATGTTTTCTTTGTAATCAGGATAAATATCCTTGCATGATGCGCTATATAGAAATGTTATGTATTACTTTCAGTCATACTTTAAAATCATGGTCTTATTGAATTTTGCAAATTGTAATTTTTAATTTTTGTTCATTAGACTCTAAAAAACAGTTAACTTATTATAACAAATCCATCACAAAATTTCACATGTAAAAACCCAAAAATTTAAATTTTACTATTTGAGGTAATTGGTATATGTACGAATAGTCAGACCCCAAAAAAATTTTAGCTCATATTTAGTTGTTTGAAATGATGATCAAGTCATCAATTACGTTATTGCTATTATTCGGTTGTATGACAAGAAGCTTATTACATACTAGACTGAAATTGGAAACAAAGAACAGAAAAAAATCGTGTTTAACACATCCCATAAGCACTTTTCTATTGTCTTACGGATTTTACAAAGGAACTTAGTATACATACATTTTGTCGGTATGAATAAGTCATACAATACAATTCAAAGTTATATTTTTTGTATTAATCACATGCTTTCACTTTAAAAACATCACAAATAAAAGAATGAAGTCCTTTTGTAATGAAATGTTGAAACAAGAAAAAAGACTACTGAAAATACGAGATTTAATACGCAAATGATTATGTAAAAATGATGAAGAAACAATGGAATTAAAGTAAAACAAAGAGTTTTTTCTTCTTTTATTCGCTTTATGTTTTCTGTTAATAGGACAAAAAGATAATGAAAAAGTTAAATAAATTTTAAAAAAGTGCTTTTCTAAGAAGTAAGTAAGGATTCAATAGAGAATATTATTTAACGAAATGGACAAAACGAACGAAAAAAAAAATAATCTTGCGGTTGCAAACTATGTCTTCTAATCTTCCGTTTCCTGATAGGAAAAGATTTAAAATTTAAATTTACTGTTGACTTCTTTTGCTTTGATACACGCTTAAAGCCAACTTAAGACTATCTTACACAAGCAAAAGTTTCCTTTGGTCACGAATGACATAATTAGTTCACTATTAATTAAAATGAGTTTTCTAAAACGAACAAAAAACTTTCATTTTGGTTAAAAATGTATAAAGCAATGACAATGATTAACGATGGAATGTTAAATTATAAAAATAATTAATGTTGATGACTTGAAAAACAAATTTTCGTTCTTGCTTTTTTGACAATACAAAAAATATCCTTATCTGAAAGTTAAATTATTTTGTTTGACATATACTCAATTCCCATTGCAAATATTTTATTCAAACCACTGAAATAAAACATAAACGAGGGAAAATATAATAATTAAAACTGAAAAAAATTCGGTTTGACTTTAGGGCTCGTTCACTTATTACGTAACGCAAAAAAACGAGCTTTTAGACCCCCCCTCCCCCCCTGTAACAAAGCGTAACAAAATCTTAGACCCCCCCTCCCCCCCCCCATAACGTAACAATAATTTTTTTCATTTAAATTGTTTATCAAATGTTTATTATACTTCCTTTAAGTATGTAAAAGTAAATAGAAGGAAAGCAATTATAACTAAAAAGGTCTTAAGTTAAAATTTAACGTTAAAAAAATTTAAAATTAATATAGAAAAAATTATAAAAAAATATAATTTTTGAAAAGTTACGTAACAAAATTTAGACCCCCCCCCCTCCCCCTGTAACAAACCGTAACAAAATCTTAGACCCCCCCTCCCCCCCTAGTGCGTTACGTAATAAGTGAACGAACCCTTAATTTGGTTAATGGCTTTTTCTATTGAAAATTGCGATGATTGTTAAGCGGAACACAAGAAGCGCAGTTTCTTTCCAGCCGTTGATCAATAATATACAGTTCTTTCTCAAAAAAAATATATGAACAAATAATTTAAGTCTCTTATTGAAACGTGGTTTTATGAACGATAAGATGAATGTAGTAGCGAAATTACTCTTCTTTATTATCATCTGTATTTTACATCTACCATTTTCATGAGAATAAAGACATAAGCATTACTCAATGGATACTGTTTTATACATACGAATATTTTTCAGAATAATGCATACTTTTGAGTTGTATGAATGCTTGAATGAAAAATTCTTTCGGATGAACAATAAGGAAAATGATTTGCGAGCTTTTCTACTTCAATTTCCGCTGATTTGAAACAAGAATATATTTGGATAATATAAAGAAGGGGATTGTAAGCCATTAAGTACAGTAAGAATGAGGAACTGTATATAGTTTTGTTTCCTTTATTGTTATTTTAAAAGTTTCTTATTTTTTTACTCCATTGTTTTAACTCACATTCAGGTTTGATTAGTTTTTTCTTCTCCTTTGTTTCGTTTCCGCCCACAGCATATGCGCACAGCAGCATATTTTTTTTTCTCCTATTCACTTTTTCATCGATTCGTGTGTATTGTCTCTTCTATCTTTTACTCTGTTTTCTTTTTGTCTAATAAGAGAGAGAGAGAAACTTTTGTTGGCGCTTTTTCATTCAATTCTTAATTCGTTTGTTCTTTGAATAGGAGCTGAGTGGAAATTGCTTACTGAAGATGAGAAAAGACCATTCATTGATGAAGCTAAGAGGCTGAGAGCTTTACATATGAAGGAACATCCGGATTATAAATATCGGCCACGACGAAAGCCAAAAGCACTAAGACGAGAAGGATATCCATACCCTATGCCCTATCCATCCGTTCCTGTTGATGCTTTAAGAGCCGGTAAGTGAAACTTCTGCTTTGGAATTTATAAAACTTGATTAATTTGACTTGCAAACTGTGAAAAAAAAATTCTTTATATAATAAAAGTGTAATAAATCGCTGTCTTCATTATCGATTGAAAGCGTTTTGCTTGCCACAATTTCATTTCTTATCGTTAATGCTTGTGTGATTTAATTTCCTAAAATGATTATGCGTATAAAAAAGGCAACAACATCACTTAAAAACATAACATGAAACATATTTATGTCATAGTGTATTTTCAGTGGCTTTGCCAGAATACTCATCCCAAAATGTTTTATGAACGATTTAAAAAATTGTTAAATATCACGCGATTCTAAAATGTTTAAACCAAATCCTACAGAAATGAAAACTTAATATTGTTAAGTTTTTTGCCGTCGCTATTGATTGATAAATAATTCTGATTATTTAAAAATGAAGTTATTATGAAATTATCTAAGTTCCTATTTTCTTTTTTTCTTCTCCTTTTTCTCTTTGCGTTAGGAATAACACCAGCAAGTTATTTCACACCGGGCAATCCATATCATTTGGGCAGCCATTTATCATCACAAACAAGCCCTCAAGCAACACAACAGGTATTCTTTTAAAGACATTCCTTCGTGTGTACTCTCATCATCATCAACATATAATTCACATGTGTATCCCACCTTTTTCATGAATGATAAAGCCAGTATAAAATGTGACTACTTATTAAAGCGCATTTTCCCTATCCCCAACTCAGTAATCAATTGAATTAATTTTCAAAGAAGCCGTTATCTTTTAATGAAATAAAATGAAAAGTGATAATACTTCACTTAATGATTCTTCACGATCTCTTCGATTTTACTCAAAGACCTTTCAAATTTCTAATTTTATGTTAATCAACGATATTATTGTTGTAGCAAAGGTTTGAAACCTTTTGTCATAAAAATTTAAATTTTAGACTAATTATACTAATTTTGTCACTGTTATCTGGGAAAATGCGCTAAACACTTATAATTAACAACAATTAAAGATAAAACAAATAAAAATCATCTTTATTTGCGAGCACAACTCAATTCAATATTTCATTTGTGATTCTTTTATCTTTATAATTTTGTTTGATTCAAAGTCTTTGCGAGTTCTTTATCTAGAAAATGCAAATTAATTTAGTAAAGAGACAGGATTTTGATTATATCTTTAACAACTTGAATGAATCGTCTTTAGAATCGTGTGTATTTTTTATTGTGCAGTAGTTAAAAAGTTTTTCAAATTTTGCCACCATTTGCTTCCCTATTCGTGACAATTCAAGGATCATAAAATCGATAGTTTTTGTTTTTTTTTTTAATAGATTGACAACTCCGTGTAGGCGTGAATATATAAGACACATGTTCATATAAATTACACTATGTCGTGATACTTGTGGCAGTGGAATATTTTAAAAATGGAGGATTGTACGGTTGATATTGAATTATTAAGTTGGACGAATCGGCCAATATTTGCCTGTATTATCTGAAAATGTTCACGAAAAGTCATATAATTTTCAGGGTTGTAATTTTGTTATAATCGAATAACTCGATTATTCGGTTTGGTTTTCATATAGTTTCATATAGAGGCTACATGGAACCTACATTTGTTAATCCTCTGAAAACCTTGCTATTACGGAGACAAAGTCTCTTTTAACCTTTCAAAGACGTGCATTCTACAACATCAACCGAATCCTGTTTCTTTAAATTCTTCAAAAATACCAAGAATTGTAAATTTTCTAACCTACACATAAATTATTTCAATATATTAAGCTATAGATTGTGATTTTTTTTTAATTGATACAAAATAATGGGCTATAAGCACTCATCTATCCATTACGTAATAATATACTTTCATTCATGTTTTTTTAAAAAAAAAAAACGTTAATTTTATTTATGTATTTCAATATTACAAATGTTCTTAGAATATATTTTAAGGGTTCAAGCAGCAGATTTTCTCATCTTAAATGTTATTGTAACTAGAAATGTTGGTTTTGTTGATGCGTTTGACATTTAAATATGTATATGATTAATTTTTGTCTATACAGACAGAATGGATTTGTCCTCAACGGTGAGGATTTCAATTATTTAGGGTTCTGACTATTCGTACAAAAACCTAATACCTTAAATAGTAAACTCAAATATTTGGTTTTTGTATTTGAAATCCCTACTCAACGGACGATTCATTTCTGTAACTCTGCACAATTGCATGAACCAGGATATTTCAATATAAAGTACATAGCCATAACTCGCGCGTCGCTAATCGCTCAAACCATGTTACTATGACTAGAATAGCGAAAAAGCACCCAAAATCCAACCAGACATTCCCTGCTTACTTTCATTCATACTAAAGGAAAATGACGATGACAATTTTTTTTAAGTAAAATAAATAAATAAATAATATGAAAGTGAAAACAAATTTTTTTAACAGTTCAAATAAAAAAATTTGTTTATTTTTATTATTTGATATCCGGTCTCATAACTGTTTCATATGCACACCATTATCGTGGAAATGTAAACAGTTTTGAAGAATGTGAAAGGTTGAAGTACCTTGCATGCAATTGTGAAAACATTGATAATTAACAGATAAACTTCCCATTGGGAATTTTCTCACATCCTATTATATAGTTCTATTTTTTTTTTTTATTGATTTAATGCCTACTGAAAATATAATCATTAAAATTAATAATAGTAATGCATTGTGCGGTACCGTAGCAGTATATTTTCACTCAAATTGATTCAATAAATTGTATCTCACAGGTTCAAATTTAAAACAATATATATATGTATATATATATATATATATATATATATATATATATATATATATAAAGCGGCGTTTATTCATTAAATTATAAATCTTTACAATTTTAAATAAAGCAGCATTTCTAATATTTCACTTGGGACTTTTTTTTGAATAAATTTACCCATTCATAAAATTTCTGTTCATCTTTACCAAAAAAAATTTTTTTTTCTTGTAAACACAAATTAAACAATTGTTATGCTGATAATGATCTCGGTTCTTTAAGAAACTGGTAGCAACAAAATAGCATTTCATTATGAAAGAAAAAAAAACCATCTTGAGACATTGGCACGAAATTTTTTTTTCCATATTTCGGGACTCTTTAAAAGATGTTAAAGAAAAAATAGAAAGAAAGGAGAAAAAAACAAGAAAGAAACATAAAGAAATAAAAGCCAGTAGCACTATGAATACAAAAGAAAAGCTAAAAGAGAGTCGCGAGTACCCAAAATAATATATGCCTCCAGACATCTTTCAACTCTGTTCTTCCTTCTATCCTTACTTCACTCCATTCTGCTTGTTGAGAAATTTTTGGAGAACAAATTAATAATAATGTAAAAAGGAACGAGAGATGTTATCTTGAATGAAGACATAATTATAAGTAGGTGTCAGAGATTTAAGAATGTTTAAGTATCGGAAATGTTCTATGATTTTTCTATTCGAGAAAAAGTAAAGTGTATGAAACTGTTTGATAAAGGAGAGTAACACAATTTTATTTGAAAATATTTTGATTTTTAAATTTTGCTTACTTTTTTTAAGAACTGAGATGCAGATCCCTTCACCTCTTTTTAGTAAATATTTATTCTTATATTCAAACAAAATCTATAATTACTATAATTCTTCCCATTTTTCTTTCACATCATCGGATTTTCTCCTATTACCTAATTCTTAGTTCACAATCTTGCTTTAATAAAAAAATTCATTTGGTTTAAAGAAAAAGAAATCAAGGAGAATAAAATTGTCTTCACTATGTTGAAAACTTTAAAAGTGTTTATTAGTCTTAGAACTTTTGTTGAATCATTATAAACAATTATCTCATCAAAATTATATATTTTTATTCCTTTTAACAACACATTTCATCTATTAAGGTGTTGATCTATACCTGATTCAGTCAAAAATGCCTTAAACGATTCTCGAGCCATAGAAAATTGTACCTTTGGTTGAGACTACCGTGTGAAGCATTTAAACATTTTTTCCAAACGAGGTAGGCGTAGAAATTTAATTAAGATGTCAAATTAAACTATGGTGGCAGTAACGAAGAATTGCAAAAACCAGAAACTTTGAAATAAAAATAGATTTAAATTTCATGGATTAAAGCATATTTAATTGGATTACTAGAGCTTGAAATTGCAGAACATTTCTAATTTATTTTTTTTTTTCTTTTCCTAATTTATTTCGACCTCCTTCTGAAGATCTCCATAGTTGTTTTAAATTAATATAGCAGCAATTGAAGAATTGGAACTTGTAAGAGAAAGCAATTTTCAATTATTCGGTAAATTAAGACAGTTCATTTGAAATATAAATTTCATCCCGATAGCTCCTTTAATAATCAAGCTGGTTTAAAAAAAAACAAATATTAGAATAGTAAAGTACAAAAAAGATATGGCTTTTAATGGAGATATTATTTCTATTAACTTAAAATCACGAACGAGGGAGGTTAAGAAACCTTAAAGGGGCAGCAAATTTGCACGTGTCAGTTCAAGTATAAAACAGTGCCATATTATGTAAGCTTAAAGTAGATGTCTCAAAGTGTTATTAACAATGTAATATAGTGCATTCACTTTTACTTTAAAAATAATTAGTCGGCAGAATTTTTCTATGATTTAATAAGTGCTATCGTGATTTCAATTTATTTTTAAGTACATAAGTAAAGTTAGAGAAATTACTCGAAAATTGTTTTTACTCTTTTCAAAAATTCATACTACCTGCAACTTTAAGAAATCAATTTCGATCCAAGAATATTGATAACTATACAATAAACATTCACATCCATCAATACAGCCAAAATCAAATAATAATAATAATAATAATAATTTGTAAAGATGGGCCTGTCAAAACTTTTAAGTATGTTTGTTGTTGTAATAAGGTAGCACGACTATTTTTCTTCACAAAAATTACGAAACAAAACATGAAATTACGTTCAATGACTTGTTAAAATGTGATGAATTTATTGAGAAAAAAATCCCTTTTCATTTTTACAGAAGTTCGATCTAAATTATGGATGGGTTTCATTATTTTAAATTATAGACACTTCATAATGATAGAACAATTTACACGCATCTCCTTGAAAAAATATTTTTTCTCAGAACAATGAACGTTGTGGATATAACGCATTCGGATTTATAGTTAAATTTCGGTTATTTTAGAAAAAAAAACTTAATTTAAAATTTCTAGAAGTGGACATGAATATTTTTGTACCTATAAAATTTTTGAATGACATAGAGCAAAATGATTGCATAAAATTATTTTCCTTTTGAAAAGTAAGCTAAATTTAAAAATAATGATCAATTCTCCTTTCTCGCTCTCACCTGGACTTGTAGACAGTTAAAATCATTGAAATTATCTCATCTCATCGAGACAACACACTTGCTGGAACCCGTCAAAATTGTGGGTCTTGACTGATTGAATAATTGAAAGATATTTACTTTTTTCGTCATGGATGGATAGGCTGTGGGGAATTAAGAGAATTTTAACAATTTGTTCATGCTACGAATTTTCTAATGTATTTGAGATTTTAATACATCTTTCAGTGCCTCTCCATTATATTGTGAGCTTTCTTCTTTTTATTTAAATTTGACTAAATACTCAATTTATGTATTCAAGACATCATATTTATGAATAGCAACGTAAAAAATATTAATGTGTTAAAATTCATGAGAATGGCATGTCTCTTTTTAAGAAAGAAAAATATTTAACGCATAATTGCCTATTTAATAGTATTGTGTACTAAACGTTCATTTTACCATCTTTCGTCGTTCATTCATAAACTAAGGTCTTTTCTCACATTCATTGCTTCATTGTAGCATTTTATTTGGTGAAATAATTCATAGTTGACTCTTTGACTTTTGGGTAATATTTATTACTATCAACTAAATTATTTAATGGACTTGCTAATTTATTGAAATATTGAAATTAAATGGATACATAATTCCAATAAAATTGCCCAATCTTTGGTATCGAAAATGCGTCCAATAAATCATGCCTATCCAATTTCTAACAAGATGTTGCCAAGATTCTCATAATGTGCAAATAGAAGAAGACGAAGAAGAAGAAAATTATTGATGATTTTTTGAATGGTCGTCAAATGGAATTGAAATAAACGTCTCTCTCATACTTTGTGTACATAGTGACATGAATGAAAATGTATATTTCATTAATGACGATAATTGTAGGGAAGATACTTGTATACTAATTCATTTCTACAAGGAATGTGTAATGGAAGTGCTCTTTTGTTATATTACTGTTTCAATTCACGGTAAAGAAGAACTCGTTAAGTTGCTTCATTGTTTGTCTGTCATCTTTGTTGTGCCTTTTTGTTTCATATTCTGGATCTTATAATTTTCTGTTCTCATTCTTTTGCAAGATTTTTCATTCATTTTGATTCATATCACATATGCACGATATGTAGCAGTGCATATGAAGCATATAAAAAAAGAAGTGATGAGAATGTTCACTTAATTTTTTTATAGTATTAATTTAAGGTCTTGTTAATTTAAGATGGACGTGTCGAAATTTACACTCGATCGTAATGCATACTTGAATACAGCAGCTGCAATTTATGAATCAACAAAGCAACAAGTATCCTCAAATTATAGTGCTTATCTTGATCCATCCGTTCTCACGAAAGCTTATTTTGATTCGAAAATGTATTCCGATCGCGCTTCGTCATCAAATTATGCATTTGATATTTCAAAAATTTATGGCAATCAGAGTGGAAATCAGGATATGAGTAGCGGTGAACGAGATTCAACGCCACAATTGGACGAAAGCAATAAAAATATGACAGATGTTCATATGGATTTTAATGGTAATGGAGCTGCTGCAAACTATCAAGCGTTTAATCAACAACCTGTTAAATTTGAAGCAGAACAAAATTCACAGCAAAACACTTCAAGTGGCGGTGATTATCGACGACCTCTTACTGTTATATTTTAAATCAAATGAAATACACTCAAAATAATCATTCTTAACAATTGAATTTGAACGAATTTCTTTAATTTTTTCTAGTTTTATCTTTAAATTTATAAAATGCTAACGTTTAGTTGAGACTGACTGGAATTTAAATCTACAGAACTTTTGCAAATATCGTTTCTGTGCTTTCTCAAACAATTCATATCCGCAAATCCAGCGAAGTTAACAAATTAGCAAGACATCATTCAAACTTAGCATAGATGTGGATACCCTTCAATTTTTTTTTTTTTTTTTTGTAAAAGTAGAATTAAAAATAAAATTAAGTTTCTTTGCAGAGGATAAAATGATAAAAACTTTTCCAATTCTTGATTTCACGAAACAGTGTGTACAAAGTAGAGTGTAATTTACGACTTTAACGATTATATTAATTTTTAAATATAATTCCAGTCAGCTAATAATTCTTACTCAAATGTAACAAAATTTTAATGAATAATGGACAAAATAAATTAAATGGTATCGGATATTAAAATAAATAATAGTCATTATAATTGATTTTATTAAAAGTAAAAATGTAGCGAAAATTTTAATGGAGCATAAGAAATAATATTGATAAAAAAAATTATCTAGTGAATGGCTAAAAGTTGTCTATGTATACAATAATCGAATATATCCATAATTTGATTAGTATCTTGTATTAATTTTTGATGAATAACTGAAGGTTTTAAATTTGGAAAATTCAACTTGATTTTAATCCTGCAAAATTAAACATTTGTAAAAAATATGATCAAGAACTATAATAAAAATGCTAAAATTTATTTGTGAATGTAGACAAAAAGGAATGAATTTATTAACTTAACTTTATCGTCACTTTATAAAATAAAGGTGATTTGAGTGTAGTCTCAAATTGAAAATTTTTAAAAATGTTGAATACTTAATAACCATTTCTACTCAACGTAAAAGCATCTTTCCACATGAAATTTCGCAATTTCCAAAGAGCATCAATTACTTCTTCGGGTTTTTCTCTTCCGCGAGCTCCTAACCAATGTGTTGGTAATCGATTGACATCAGTATTAATTGTCTCGCGAGTAGCTCTCACCGATTTTTCCCACTGTCCAACATATGCATTGTTATTTTGCAATCCCTCAATATATTTAATATAAGCTTCAGAGTGCAAAACACGTTGTGGACGTGGTGGAACTGTCACAAATAATGGTTCAACCGGTGTTGTAACATAATTTATAATATTTTGTTGTTGAACTGCCGGCTGATGATGGGCTAATATATTGGTTTGAGGACTTCCAGTAACAATTGGGGTTGTTTGAATTGTTTGATGTGGATGATATACGATTTGTTGGTGAACTTGTTGCTGAGCTGGTTGATTATTTTGATGTAAATGTCTTCTTGTGCTTGAAACATAATTTTTACCACGATCTTGTGGCTGCACAATTTTTCCTGGTGCTTTTACAACATGAACTTCTCTTACATGTTTCATCAAACGCTGAATATTTGGCAATGGAGGCTGATTTCGTCTAGCACGAATGCAATTCCTCCATAAGCAGTGATAAACAATTGGCTCATTCTGAGCTGCCAATTGTTGAAAATGTCGCTGTACACAACCATTGCTATCAGTTATTGTATGTTCCAAGGCATCACCTGGATCTTCAAATTGATAATCACATTTGTCCCAACAACATTCGAAAACCTACACATTAACAAAAATATTATCATGAGAATCATTATTAACAAAAGAAGACCAAATGAGAACAATATAAATCCCAAATAAAACAATGAACAAATAAGAATTGTTAGCCAAAGACGCGCAAAAAATGAGAATCTATTGCTTTGTTTCAAATGACTTCAAGATAAATTAGTCATTGAAACAAAGTATGGGAATTTTTCATATGACATATTCCCTTAAAAAATATGAATTCCGATCCTCTGGCGGTTATCCCAACAGTTAACAACTATAAGTAAGCAAATAATTGCATTGGAATGAAAATAAATGTACTTATGAATCACATTCATTAGTTTCTTAAAAGGGCACTCTAAAAAATTTTATATATCTTAGCTTTTCATACTTGATTCTGTATAAATTCATGTTGCATTGATAATTGGTTTGGTGTTAGAGCCATCGATGAATTTGCAATTGGACTATCTTTTCCAGTTTCTCTTCCACCGTTTAAAGCCATTTCTTCTGCATACTTTGATGCATTTTGTTCATTGATAGCTGATGCTCTGTCTTCCCATTGACGTCGCTCATTTTGCGGTAGTGCTCGCCATTCGTCACCAATCATTCGTGATATATCACCAAATTTGCATTCTGGATTCTCAAGAACTTTTGCTTTTCTTACTTCACTAGAATATAATATGTATCCAGTAATGACTTTTTTCCCACTTTTACCTCCTGTAAATGCAGCAGGTCTTTTAGACGTGGAAGCCGGAGTGCTTAAAACTGTTGTTGGTATAGGTGAAGATCTATTTAAAGCAAAACCATCTGAGCCAATATCAGTATCCATTGAATCTTCAGTCATTCCAAAATCACAACTATTTCCTCCTCCATTCGCTTCCATCTTCAATTGATCCTGTGAAATTGTAATGGTCAGAAATTTTTTTTTCTAAGTTTATTTTTGAATTTTTCATTTTAAATTCTATGGCCAACCTTATATTCTTCTTTACTTTTAATGTGCTGGGCGGCCATAGATTTTGATATATTAGAAGATTAAAACTACAATTATCTACTTTCTTTCCATTTCATTTGATTATTAATGATTCCTACCTTTTTCCACTTCCTCTTCTGAAGTGCACAATAAATTGTTAAGAAAGTGAATATTGTTATTGATTTGAGTGAGTTATTAAAAAAAGTATATATATTTATATTTACAGTATTATTCATGCAATTAATTACTAAATTAACCGTCAAAGGACCATTATATTAACTACAAATTGCTATCTTCTACAAAATATGTGAAAAAAAACACTTACAATATCAGACAATGTTGCTGTTTTTGAATCCATTTCATTTGCAAGCATCTGTGAGAAAGACGATAATAAAACATCAAATACCATTTTCTACCCACACATCACATCACATCACAAATAAGAAATAGTAAAAATTGTACGTAGCTTACCCTTTGGATTGTTATTGGACGTCTAAAGTAGTATATTTCGTCTGGAGTTACGGCTTGTGTATGAGTAAATTTTTTCAAATGTCCAGTCCCTTGTAACTTTTTGATCTGCTTGTTGAATTCGTCATAAATAGACTCACAAAGAAATACGTCCGACTCGGGAATTTCTGTTGGACGTCTTGTTATGTATTCATCAACTTCTAGAACACAGCATTTTCCAACAATTCCGATTGTAGGTGTCGTTTCTTGAACAGTAGATAAAAAAACTTCTTGTCTAAATTGTAAATGATTTGCGAGAACCATTGAAGGCAATTCAGTTGACGTTAAAATCCAAGGACCCCTGAAAAATGACTTTCCTTCTTTTGTTTCCCAAATTGAGTTTATTTGAGCAATCGCTTGTTTTCCAGATTCAGTTGCTACATACACATAATCGCCTGTTTTGACGGTTCCACTGCACGCCGTATTAAATTGTTCATAATATGTGTTCATTACATCGTCGTTGCCATGAACAATAACTTCAACATTACATTTTTCTTTCTCGGTTAATGCTAAATCGACTTCATCAATTGGTATGTCAAGTTTAAGCGGATCGACAGGCCTATCTTTAAAAACAGATTGAACTCTTTTCGGTTCAAGAGGTTCTTCTCGCAAGACAAGTTTAGTATTATTTGTTTGAAATGGCCATGCCTTGATTTTTTTAAATGATCTTGCTCTTGAATTGTATCGAAATTCACAGACATATACATCTTTGTCGGCAAACGATTCAGGTTTTAATTTGAAATAATCTTTAACGCTCATAACATAGCATTTTTGTTGCAATTCTTTTAAGGGTATCGTTTGATGTTGATCACTTTTAAAAACTTCTTGCTCCAAAAATTTCCTCGTTGTCAAATGATACGTTTGGTAAGGACGTAGATAAACATTACCATGACACAATTTCTCACCACTTTGATCAGTAAAAAGTCTTTCGATATACATAATTCCAGGTGTTTGATCATCAGTCAATGAATAATAAACAAAATCGCCTGGTGTATAAATCTTTCCGTTATCAATTGACATGCTTTCACTTTGAGCAGGCGCAACAATATCAATATTTGAGGATTCTGCTTCCGGTTCTTCTTCTTGTAAAAGTTTAGTTTGACGAACTGCTTCAACAGCTGCACTTAAATGCATAGCAGTATAACTTAATGCAGGAGATGATAAAACTTCTCCATTTTTACACAGGTCATCTCTTTTCTTTATTAAGAATGATTGCATTTCAATAGAATCCTCAAACACTTGAGAATCTGTTCTTGACAATCTTCTAGCTCTTTCAAAACACGCAAACATATCTTCTTGGAAAATATCTAATCGTTTATAAATTCCCTTGTCAAGTCTTCTTTTTATGAGATCCAATGAGATTGCTCGTTGCTTCCCTCCTTCAATTTCGTCTTGTTCTGGCAATTCAGACATTGAGTCAGAGAAACATCTACCTTCTTCATCTTGATAATTGTAGACCGACGTAAATAATTGCATCAATAAATCCAGAAGAACTTGTGGAACGTCAGGAACATTTTCGTCCTCCATTCTAAGTTCAGTTTTCGTTTGAATACACACTTGCTGCAGCATAAGCGCATCTTTATAAATCTGGCTGTCTGGTTCATTGTATTTGCATGCATTTTCCTACGACATAATTAATTTTAGCTTATTATTGAAGCTTTAAAAAACCAAAAAAAAAATATATATATATATCTTACAAACATGAGCATCAAATCAGCTGAAAGTTCATCTACAGAATCATACTGTTGCATCCTCAATTTATTTCCAATCTTTTCGAGATCGATTGGTTTTGAAATTATTTCGTAATAGTCAGGATATTCCTAATAAGATATAAGGTGAATTTTAATAGGTCATATAGGGGAAAGAAGTGAGCAATACATAAACATGCGACCAAGCATTAAAAAAAGATATGCTTCTTTTTTGTTTGTGCCATTTATTTACCTTATTCTTTCCATCCACAATCCACAATTATAATCATATTATTTATTTATCATCAGAGACAAGGAATTCATTATTGGGAATGTGATTATTTAAAAAGATACATAAATAGAAAATGACGGAATGAAATAAAGAAGAATGTCAGTTGATTACTACCGAAAATGTTTTAAAAGGTGCGTTAAAACGTGGTTGCGGTGATAAATTTTAAATAATTTCGATAATTTTATGGCCGAATTAGGACAAAACAAAACTACATATTTTCTCTCTCATTAGCTAGACTTTTAATCATACAACTTACCATTTTGCTTGGCAACTTCATAAATATTGTTGCAACCTGACGATTTGACTTAGGATCCTTATATTCTTTAATTGTTTCAAACAATTTCTTCAATTTTACGTCCAAAACCATTTGCGCTTTCTTGCTTTGCATTTTCATCCTAGAATAATTTCGTTAAGATATCAATGTTTCAGTGTTAAATTCAGAATAATTGACTTACATCTTTGGCTTTCGATCACCTATACCAGATATCTCTTTCAATCTATCATTTAGGATTCGTTCAAGCATATTAGCATCATCATAAATCATGGAATTTTCCTCATTATATTTTCGACAATTGTTAAACATTAGTCGATAATCACCAACAATATCATCAACAGTGCCATAGCGGTCATTTTCAATGTTTTTTTGAATACAAGTCATATCTATTGGGTGTTGGATAATTGTATAATAATCAGGATATAACTTTTTAGAAGGTTTTTCTAAGAATGGTTCAGCAGGCTGTCGCCCATCAAAAGAATATTCCATTAAATGCTTATGAATAGCCATTAACTTCTTTTTAAGTGCTGGATTATTGGGAAATTTATAAAATTTTGATGCCTGCGGTGTTGGAGTTGGTGCTGGCGATGTTGAAGATGAAACTGGATGGATTCTTGGTCTTCCTTTCTTCTTTTTATCAACACTACTTCCTTGAATAGAACTGAATTGTTGCGAGTCTTCGGTATCTTCTGTATCATCATCATCTAATCCGTCATCAACTAATTTTTGATTTAAAATCTTTTGCATCTTTACTGCATCCTTGTAGATTTTCGACGACGGTAAATTTGCTTTTTTTGCATTATCAATCATGAGATATAAATCTGTAGACAATTCAGTTACATTAGCATATTCATTTTTCTTCAATTTCTTTTGAATCATTGACATTGAAAGAGGTTTTTTGATGATCGTATAGTATTCAGGATGAAAACGTTTGTTCGGCAATTTCCAAAGTGACTCTCCGAGCGGTGACCCTCCTCCTAAAGATCCATCTGTTTGTCAGTTTCATTTGATTTTTAACATAACATTGACACATACAAATTTTAAGATGGACAGTAATAAGGAAATAATGGACAGAAACGAAAAACAAGAAAATGATAATCAATAATAAAAAAAGAAACACAAAAAAAACTATACACCAACATTCTACTCAATGCAGCTTAAATAATGAGGGATAACACAAAATATCAAATATCACATAATATCTCACCGGAACTTGATTGGTTGTAAATATTATCAAATAATTGCCAAAGTGGACCAGTTTGTGTCTCATCGTCCATCTCATCCATTTCTTCATCTGTTGAATCGAGCTCTTCTTTGAGAGCAGCACAAGCAGCACTGTAACTTATTATTGGACGACCACGACCTCTTGTTGGCAGTCGTTTATATTTTCCAGCATCAATATCTGCTTTGCGTTGAATAAAAACTTTCTTAAGAGTTTTTGCATCTTTATAAATTTGACTTCCTGGCTCGTTGAAAATTTGAGCATTTTTAACCATTTGAAGCACGTCCTTTTCTATATCATTTAGACTTGTATATGCATTTGTTTGAATTTTATTAGCAATAAATTTTAAGTCAATTGGATGATCAATTACAGCATAATAATCAGGATAGTGTTTCTTTGACGGTAACAATTGAAACATTGTATGCAATGACCGATCATCAACAGGATCAGTTGCTGTCATAATTGCAGCGAACAATTCCTCATAAATATCGTAATCATTATTTTCTGAAGAGTTTTCTGATACTTGATCATCATCTAAAACAGACTTTCTTGGACGTCCGATTCGACGAGGCTTTGATGGATCAACTACACTTGTTAGTGTAGATTCCTCATTCATGCTGTCTATGAGTTTCGATTTATTACTATTATATACTTCCCATAATGAACAAGCGTCTTTATATTCATTAGAGTCGGGCTTATAAAATGCTTTAGCATTATTCACTAGTAACTCAATATCAGTAGTCAGATCATCGATATCTTCATATGAATCGGTTTTAAGCTTCTGTTGAACTCTTAATAGGTCAATTGGATTTGTTACAATTTCATAATAATTCGGTTCTTGACGCCTCTTTGGTGCTCTTATGAAAAAATCACACAACTGAGTTCCATCATCCTTTTTATGATTCCGAATTGAATCGTATAAACTTTGACATTGCTCCATCTACAATTTATATCATTTATGTAGCTATGCAAATAATAATTATTAAAATAACCATCAAGAAACTTACTGGATCAAGTTTTTTGCGCTTTCTGACCGCCGGTATGTTATTAGGATACAATCCCAAGTCATCGTCAGAGTCAGTGTCTATTTCTGATGATGTTCTTCTGCGTTTACTCATCATTTAACTGCTTTAAATATATGGCTTGGCTTCAAAAATTCAATAGTCAATTAAGCTATTAATTTTTATATTTGAAATATTGAAAACAGAACAAAACGATAGATTGACACTTTATTACACGATTTATTTGGAGTTTAATTAATTAAATTAGGTATTTTCTAGAGAAATCTAATTTTAAATTATTTTTTTTTTGAAAACTATGGTTTGCTTCGAAACAAATGTCAGAATTTCAAAATTTTTTAAACCGTTAACTTCCATGCTCATCTAAAGTATTAGCTCATTTAAACATTCATAAAGAATACCCGAGAATACCTCAGTCTCTACAACAAAAAACATAATTTTAAGGCTGAAATATACATTAGGGGGGCTCATTATTTTTATTTCAGAATGCAGAAATACTTTATAAGTTAAGCCTTAACTAAAGGGGGCATCACACGTATAATTTTTCGATAATTTCGAAGAAATGCTTAACGTATTTTTACACGCTTTTTTGAAATTTAAATCACACGTGTATTGGTTTATTGACAAATTTTATAACATCAAAAAAAAAAAGAGAATTGCACACTAGTCAGAAAAGTTAATTTTATCATTATTTCTATTAATTATCGTTTAAAATGAGTAATGAAGTGATTTTAAAGGAACCATTAATAGTGTTTAAAGAAGATCATATGTTAGCATGTCCTCAGAAATGCAGAATATATCAAAATGAATTTAATTTACCGGCGTCAAGTTTAGTAATGGTTAAAAGTGGTGAAACAAAGATTATATGTCGCTTATTCTACTTAAATGAGTGCTATAACAATAAATCAATGTGCTTTCTTGATGATTCTGTCCAAATTAATGGTAAATTTAAGGAAATCAAATATGTTGAGAAGCTGGAATTGATTGATAGATCCGAAATAACAGTTTTTAATAAGGTTTCAGTAAAAATTTATGTTGATTCCGCCAAACTGGATCTTAAAATTATAAAGTCTAAAGATGAATTAATGAATGTAATAAAATCAATTCTTAAACATTATTCATTCACGTCAAACTCTACTATTTCATGCAAACGATTTGGGATAAGTCAAATATTCGTGACATCTACAGATTATAAATTTAAATATGGAACTTTAAATGCAGCATGTGATTTAGAAATTGAAGAAATTCTTACTGAATCTTCATCTAGATGGAATAATTTGTCATTAGGAGGATTAAGTGATGAGGAGAAAAAATTGAGGGAAATAATCGAGAATAATATTAAATATGCAAAAAATCCCCGATACTTTCGAAGCAAACCAACATGTCAAGTCTTAATTTGTGGACCAAGTGGAAGTGGAAAAACATCACTTATTCATCAAATGGCTAACAAATTAAATTGCAATCTATTTGAGATAACTGCAGATATTTTTAAGCCATATCCAGGCGAGACAGAAGAAGAATTTCAGAAAGTCTTTAAGAAAATTATAGATATCACCAGTATCATTTCGTCAAATCTCTCAATCATTCTAATTGAAAATGTTGAATTGTTTTGTCCAAAAATTGATATGAAGATTAAAGAAAATTCCCATTCTTCGAGAATAGCATCAATGATATACTCATACCTTGATGAAATATATCGTACAAAAGGGATTTTAGTGATTGGAACTACATCAAAGATCGAGTTAGTAAATATTGCATTACGAAGATTCAATCGATTGGGAATTGAAATTGCTTTAGAGATGCCGAATGAGAATAAACGATATGAAATTACTAAAATTTTAATCAATCGAATTATTGGAAATCAAATAATGCTGGAAAATGTTGAAAAATTGAGTAAATTTGTGGCTCAAAACACATCAGGCTTTGTTGGTGCCGATTTGGAGATTTTATGTCAACATGCTTTGCGTCAATATGAAATTAATAAGGAAGACATTCGTAACATATTTGAAGTCGAATTGCAGAAAATTAATCCGAGCGTTATGCGCGATAATCTTGAAACATTAGTGAAATCTACAATGAGCTTCAACGACATTGGTGGAATGGAGAGTATCAAGAAATCTCTCTTAACATCTGTTTTGGGGCCTCTTATGCATCCAGAAAAATTCAATAGTTTTGGTTTAAAAACTATTTCGGGAATTTTATTGTACGGTGCTAGTGGCTGTGCAAAAACGACATTTGTAAAATGCTTAGCAGGAGAATGCAAAATGACCTTGTTGTCTGTGAGTTCTGCTGAAATTTATTCTCCATATGTAGGCGAAGCTGAAAAATTCATTGTGAAACTGTTCAATCAAGCTCGTCTTAGTGCTCCATCAATTTTATTTTTCGATGAAATTGATACGATTGTGGGCAATCGAACTCACTCAAATGGAACAAACGATGCACATATGAGAATCTTATCAACTTTACTCACCGAAATTGATGGCTTTGGAGGAAATAGTAAAACAAACAAAAATAAACCAGTTCTCATTGTAGGAGCTACCAATCGTCCTGAATTTTTGGACGGAGCCCTTCTAAGACCTGGAAGATTTGATAAATTAATTCACGTTCCAGCTCCGGATTATGATTATCGATTGCAAATCTTAAAATTTCTATTAGAACAGAGGCCCATAGCACAAAATGTAGATGTTGAAGACATAGCACGTAGAACCGAAAATTTCTCTGGTGCTGACTTGGTAAATCTTTGTAATGAAGCTGGATTATGTGCTGCAACTAGAGATATGAATTGCAAGGAAATAACATTCGAAGATTTTGAAAACGTTTTCGTTTTCATACGTCCTTCATTGACAAAAGAGAAAATTGAGTCTTATCAAAAATTCGAGCGTCATCATTTCAGCTAAGATGGTAATTTTATAACTCTTTAATAAGCTTTTGTTTTTCATATAGATTGAAGAGTGCTTAAGAACTTTATTTAATTTCCTTCGTCTTTGCTCTTTGTAATTGCAGGAAAAACTGATAGAACGGCTCTTTGTGCATCGTTACGCTTATTGTCTTTCATTCATCATATCGTACAAGTAAACAAAAATGAACGAAAGACGAGAACAATGAATCATTGCCGTTTTAATAAAATAAGTTTGAATGAAGATGAAAAGTTGATAGAAGACGAGATGCGGAGTAATAATAAGATTTTTTCTCTCAATTCATACATAGAGTCAAGGAAAAGCTATTAAATCTGAATTTTTTTTTGTTATATTGTCAATGAATGATAACTAAAGCGTAATATGAAATTTTATTTATTTTTTTTTTCACTGCCAATAGCAATATTAATTTTCCATTACTCACTAATATGCTTGCTTAAGATATTATGTCATATCAAGTCACATTTTGCTACAACAGTTATTTTTTAAGTGCTAAACATCGATCTGTAAGGAGAAAATAAACTACCATTGGTCTCGAGTGAAGAATTCAAAATTCAAGAAAATATACAAGGTTTTTAACAATATTTTTATTTTTACTAGACTTTATTGTAAAGATTCAGAACCTATACATTTATTGGATTCGTTTAATTACAAAGTCACTTTAGAAGAATATATAAATTTTTACAACTTTCAGTGAGATAAATCATCTTTTGCTGGAGTGACTACAAATTTTCCGTAACTTATTGCATCGTCATTAGAGGTGCTTTCGATGTCTACGAAAATTGTTTGACGATTTACTGGCTGTGATGAAGATCCGGGATTGTAATGTGTTGAAGTTTTTGGTGTTTCGATTGGTTCCGAATGCTTTGTTTTATGGTCACTGGAATTTGTCATACTTTTATAATAGGAATCTAAATCAATGACACTTTGTCTTGGCTGATCTATTTTACTGTTGAATTTTTGGATTAACGGTGCCCATGTGTGAGTATTTTGATACAAGTCATGTCTCAACAATTCAGCTGCAACCCCTCGAAAATTTCTAGTTTCGCTATTGAGATAATCATCCAACTGTTGTCTTACTCTCCTTCCATCTTCAGCATTTATTGTTTTATTATAATCGCGAGCAATAGGAATATCGTGTCTCCAAAATTGTCTTTCCTCTTCCGTTGATAAAGGAGCAACTTCGATTTTAATTCGAAGAAAAATATATCCCATAAAGTATACACAAATTACGTTTGTAATTGTTAAAAATAAACTTAAAGCTCCCAAAATCAAAAGTTCGACTGCAGGATTTTGACTATATTTAGTTTCTTCGATTGTGTATGAGCCAAAAGCTGTTATATCAAGGAATTGAAAAACTTGGTTGACACTAGAAAACGACCATAATAAACCCTAAAATAAGATACGTTATTGCTATGATTGAGAAATTTTGTGCATTAACTTACAGTATTGACAGCTGGCGGCAACAAAGAAGCTGAAATAGCCACTCCAGCAAGAGAGCCGAAATTTTCTCTTAATAATGCAATTGATTGAGCAGCACCAGATGGAAGTGCAATGAAAATGCCTACCAAAACGGAACGCCATGTACATCTCGAAAGCATTTCACCAGTTAATTTAATTTGAATATTGAAAATATAGTCTGTAATGCAGACAACAATTCCAAAAAAATATCCAACAACTATGCACAGGATTATACCAATGATTTCATTTCGAAGACCCAAAAATTGAAGCGTATGATCTTTAATTATTGCTCCAAATGTCGAGGCCAAAATCGGTCCCATCAGAGGAGAAATAAGCATACTGGCAGTCAGGATTAACGTGCTGAAAAGATGAACAATACATTTAAAAAAAAAATTATAAATGAAAATGGTTTGTTTGTTTTAAAACCTGTTTTCAACTAAACCGAAGCTAGCAATAATACTGGCAGCAATCAATAGAATGATGAAATCAAACGACATTGTAGCATCCGATTTTACAGCATGAACGAGCTTTTCGACATTTAAGCGAGCCCTAACATTTCCAATGTGCTGAATCCAAGATGTTTCACGAATGATATTATCTGATGAATCGTCGTCTGATTTCCTTAAATGGCTTTTATCCTTATAAACAGAGCAAGGAATAATGACACATGATGAGCCCTTTTTATGACCTATGCCATGATCACTTAATAAATGAATCGTCTCATCACATCGAACACCTTTTTCAAGAGAAAATATAATTTTATATGAATTTGAATTATTGATTTTTTGCCAGGATACATTTCGGATCTTCATTCTGTCAATTATTTCTCGCATAACAAATTCCATTGTCTTATCTTTAAGACTGTCGACACGATTCACTACATTGTAAAACTTTTTACAAGCTTCCTCACTCTCACTTGCTTTAGTTTCATGTTTAACTTTTCGCATAAACACATCACTATCCATAGATCCTTGTAATTCCTGTTGAATACGAATATCCTACCAAAATGAAACTCAAATTAAACATACAGTAAAACTAAAATATTGCACAATCAGTTACATTTTTAGATTCATTGCCTAGCTTCTCAGCTTGTCTGTATTGCTTTTCTACTTTCGCAAAACATGAGTCGGAATTCAGACTGGATTCCTATTAAAAGCAAGTAATGAGATGTATTGTTAAAATACTAATGAATTTATAATCAATTATTGCTTAACCTGAATGGAACAACTGGATAAACTGTCATACAAATTAGCATTTGCTTCACAAAACCCATCTTCTTCACTCGATTGCTGCTTGTTGGATAAACATTTCTCATATTTTTCACGTGGAATGCAAATAACAAATAAAACGCCTGCCATTTTTGTTGCACAATTAAATTTTCACTTTTACTGCCTACTGCTTTTCTAAAGCTTATTTACAATATTTTCCACTGCAATAGTGATTTTTACAATATCCACATATACTATTAATTATATAATTAAACCAATGATTAAACAACAAACTCTTTAAAATAATACGGGCATCGACGTTTGTTAAGGATTTTTGCTCAACGGAATATAATTATTTCAATTTTTCACTAACACTATAATTACAAAACATCAGAGCGACTTTTTAAAATGCATTTTAAACGCTTTTATATTTTTCTCATGTTTCTTGGAACCATTATCAGTTGATTTTAGGTGGGTAGCGACTTACCCCGGGGCACAAAAAGCTTTTTTTTAAAAATTGTCTTCAACCTAAATTGTTTTGTTAAAACCAGCGGGGCTCGTGGAAATATGGGGGGTTCTCGGGTGGGGACAACTACACGTGGAGCTTTTAGGGGTAAAAAGCGTTTAAAAAAGCTCCATAAAAGCTTCCAAAAAAGCTCTTTAGATTTTTTTGATTAATCGGTCAAACCTCGTGGGAACCGGGAATTCTCGGGTGGGGACCACAAATAATAACTCTTTTGGGGGGTCAAAAGCTTTCAAAAAAGCTCTATGAAAGCTCTCAAAAAAGCTCTATAAAAGCTTTCAAAAAAGCTCTATAAAAGCTTTCAAAAACAGGGTCGCCCCTAGTCCAAAATTGAAAATGTATTTGCTTCTTGGTTCTTTGCTCAAAAAAATTTTAAGATGTTTTATTTGTATTTGTTTAGAGCACTAGAATATTTATGCAAAGTTTCAATCCATTTGGATAAACCCTCGAAGAAAAAAGTAAGAAAATTGATTTGACTAGGGTCGCCCCTAGTCCAAAATTGAAAATGTATTTCCTTCTTGGTTCTTTGCTCAAAAAAATTTAAAGATGTTTTATTTGTTTTTGTTTTGAGCACCAGAATATTTATGCAAAGTTTCAATCCATTTGGATAAACCCTCGAAGAAAAAAGTAAGAAAATTGATTTGACTAGGGTCGCCCCTAGTCCAAAATTGAAAATGTATTTGCTTCTTGGTTCTTTGCTCAAAAAAAATTTTAAGATGTTTTATTTGTATTTGTTTTAAGCACTAGAATATTTATGCAAAGTTTCAATCCATTTGGATAAACCCTCGAAGAAAAAAGTGACAAAATTGATTTTAACTAGGGTCGCCCCTAGTCCAAAATTGAAAATGTATTTCCTACTTGGTTCTCTGCTCAAAAAAATTTTAGGATGTTTTATTTGTATTTGTATTAAGCATTAAAATATTTATGCAAAGTTTCAATCCATTTGAATAAACCCTCGATGAAAAAAGTGACAAAATTGATTTTGACTAGGGTCGCCCTTAGTCCAAAATTGAAAATGTATTTGCTTCTTGGTTCTTTGCTCAAAAAAATTTAAAGATGTTTTATTTGTTTTTGTTTTAAGCATTAGAATATTTATGCCAAGTTTCAATCCATTTGGATAAACCCTCGAAGAAAAAAGTGACAAAATTGATTTTGACTAGGGTCGCCCCTAGTCCAAAACTGAAAATGTATTTCCTACTTGGTTCTCTGCTCAAAAAAACTTAAAAATGTTTTATTTGTTTTTGTTTTAAGCACTAGAATATTTATGCAAAATTTCAATCCATTTGAATAAACCCTCGAAGAAAAAAGTGAGAAAATTGATTTGACTAGGGTCGCCCCTAGTCCAAAATTGAAAATGTATTTCCTTCTTGGTTCTTTGCTCAAAAAAATTTAAAGATGTTTTATTTGTTTTTGTTTTAAGCACTAGAATATTTATGCAAAGTTTCAATCCATTTGGATAAACCCTCGAAGAAAAAAGTAAGAAAATTGATTTGACTAGGGTCGCCCCCAGTCCAAAATTGAAAATGTATTTCCTACATGGTTCTCTGCTCAAAAAAATGTAGGATGTTTTATTTGTATTTGTTTTAAGCACTGAAATATTTATGCAAAGTTTTAATCCATTTGTATAAACCTTCAAAGAAAAAAGTGACAAAGTTGATTTTGACTAGGGTCGCCCTTAGTCCAAAATTGAAAATGTATTTGCTTCTTGGTTCTTTGCTCAAAAAAATTTTTGGGATGTTTTATTTGTATTTGTTTTAAGCACTAGAATATTTACGCAAAGTTACAATCCATTTGGATAAACCCTCGAAGAAAAAAGTGACAAAATTGATTTTAACTAGGGTCGCCCCTAGTCCAAAATTGAAATGTATTTCCTACTTGGTTCTCTGCTCAAAAAAATTTTAGGATGTTTTATTTGTATTTGTATTGAGCATTAAAATATTTATGCAAAGTTTCAATCCATTTGAATAAACCCTCGAAGAAAAAAGTGACAAAATTGATTTTGACTAGGGTCGCCCTTAGTCCAAAATTGAAAATGTATTTGCTTCTTGGTTCTTTGCTCAAAAAAATTTTAAGATGTTTTATTTGTATTTGTTTTAAGCACTAAAATATTTACGCAAAGCTTCAATCCATTTGGATAAACCCTCGAAGAAAAAAGTGACAAAATTGATTTTAACTAGGGTCGCCCCCAATCCAAAATTGAAAATGTATTTCCTACTTAGTTCTCTGCTCAAAAAAATGTAGGATGTTTTATTTGTATTTGTTTTAAGCACTGAAATATTTATGCAAAGTTTCAATCCATTTAAATAAACCCTAGAAGAAAAAAGTGACAAAATTGATTTTGACTAGGGTCGCCCTTAGTCCAAAATTGAAAATGTATTTCCTACTTGGTTCTTTGCTCAAAAAAATTTTAAAATGTTTTATTTGTATTTGTTTTAAGCACTTGAATATTTATGCAAAGTTTCAATCCATTTGGATAAACCCTCGAAGCAAAAAGTGACAAAATTGATTTTGACTAGGGTCGCCCCTAGTCCAAAATTGAAAATGTATTTGCTTCTTGGTTCTTTGCTCAAAAAAATTTTTGGGATGTTTTATTTGTATTTGTTTTAAGCACTAGAATATTAACGCAAAGTTTTAATCCATTTGTATAAACCCTCGAAGAAAAAAAGTGACAAAATTGATTTTAACAAGGGTCGCCCCTAGTCCAAAATTGAAAATGTATTTCCTACTTGGTCCTTTGCTCAAAAAAATTTTAAGATGTTTTATTTGTATTTGTTTCGAGCACTAGAATATTTATGCAAAGTTTCAATCCATTTGGATAAACCCTCGAAGAAAAAAGTGACAAATTAATTTTGACTAGGGTCGCCCCTAGTCCAAAATTGAAAATGTATTTCCTACTCGGTTCTTTGCTCAAAAAAATTTTAGGATGTTCTATTTGTACTTGTTTTAAGCATTAGAATATTTATGCAATAATACAATTAACTGAACACAAAATTAAAATATATTGAGCCAAACAAAAGTTGTGGTAGTTTGAGTGTTGAAAAAAAGCATACAAGTCGTCAGATATCAAAAGTACCCTTTATTTCGACAGATTTTGAACTTTTTGAAAAAATTTCTGCACAGATTGTCTTTAAATGGCATTTATCGTTGAAAAACATCAGAAAACTTATTTGTAGCTAATCATTTGTAATTTATATTACAAATTCAAGTTTTTGACAAAATATTCAATGACTCACTAAAACGCAAATAACTTTTTTTTACACGCTTTTTTGTAGTAGGTCTAGGGAAAAAGTTTATATGGTTTTAAAAACTACAAATTAAGGGCTACACGCCAATGTTATTCTACCCCCTATTACTCGGCCATCTAAGGCACTTGCAGCGTGTTTGAAGATTATTTTTGCAGAATTTTCATACATTTCCTACCATACGAGTATCAAAATAAAAAAAATTATGGGCTTGTAGTGTAATTTAATATAGCTTTTATATTGAGTTATTAGGAATCGAAAACAGTTTTTCAATATCTATAATCGTCATAGCCTACTTTGAATTTAAACATTAACTGAAAAAATCAGAATTTTCACTCATTTTCAACTTTAAACAGCCACAGAATCGTAGAAACAGCACCAAATGACTTGAAATTTAACATAGAAGTCTATGTTTACGTCTACTATAAGAAAAAAATACTCTGAAGTCATAATTCAAAACTTTTCAAAATATTGGTGAATGTCCGTTTCTTTTTTTGATTTTGCCCCATAGTGCGCCCCTAGTCCAAAATTGAAAATGTATTTCCTTCTTGGTTCTTTGCTCAAAAAAATTTTAGGATGTTTTATTTGTATTTGTTTTAAGCACTTAAATATTTATGCAAAGTTTCAATCCATTTGTATAAACCCTCGAAGAAAAAAGTGACAAAATTGATTTTAACTAGGGTCGCCCCTAGTCCAAAATTGAAAATGTAATTCCTTCTTGGTTCTTTGCTCAAAAAAATGTTAAGATGTTTTATTTGTATTTGTTTTAAGCACTGAAATATTTATGCAAAGTTTCAATCCATTTAAATAAACCCTAGAAGAAAAAAGTGACAAAATTGATTTTGACTAGGGTCGCCCTTAGTCCAAAATTGAAAATGTATTTGCTTCTTGGTTCTTTGCTCAAAAAAATTTTTTAGATGTTTTATTTGTATTTATTTTAAGCATTAGAATATTTCAGAGATCGAAGCCGATTTTTTCGGCTTAACTCAATTTTTGATTTTTTTGATAGAAAAAAGCCATTTGACACCCATTTCAAGTATTTAAATTGAACTTTACATGCTTTACTATGATTCTGTGTAATATTTTGTTTGGTTCTTTGCTCAAAAAAATGTTAAGATGTTTTATTTGTATTTGTTTTGAGCACTAGAATATTTATGCAAAGTTTCAATCCATTTGCATAAACCCTCGAAGAAAAAAGTGACAAAATTGATTTTGACTAGGGTCGCCCCTAGTCCAAAATTGAAAATGTATTTTCTTCTTGGTTCTTTGCTCAAAAAAATTTTAGGATGTTTTACTTGTTTTTGTTTTAAGCACTAGAATATTTATGCAAAGTTTCAATCCATTTGCATAAACCCTCGAAGAAAAAAGTGACAAAATTGATTTTGACTAGGGTCGCCCCTAGTCCAAAATTGAAAATGTATTTTCTTCTTGGTTCTTTGCTCAAAAAAAATTTTTTCATCCAAAGTTTAATTTAAAAAAAATCACAGTGAACTTTTAATTTGAAAAATTCGTAAGAAAGGAACTTTTTTTGCTTTT